ACAATGTTTAGTCCAACTGGCAAGTTTTTGACTTTACTGGAAGAAAACATTAGGTGCCTATCTGTGCATACCAACATTTGCATAGAACCACTGGCCATCCATTAGCTATCTCGCATAAAATCATTCAATTTCCTTGACAGAATTCAAACCAACAGCTTTGAGTCGCAAGATACTTGAAATCATCTTCCTGCACCACTTTGCCATAGAGAGAACAAATCGGGCGAAAATAAACTAACAAAAAATCATTTTCAAGGGCAAAAAACTCAAAAAGTAGTATGGCGACTCCCTATTTTTTTTTCCAATCCTAATTCTCTTTAATCATGCAAAGCTGAAGAAATATCACTCACTTTGTTAAAAAAAAAAATCCAATTACAGGCCTTCTACCTTAAACCTCTTATATATACAGCTCTAAAATCCTCCTGCTATAAACATAATTATATCCACTATACACTACACACATGCACTAGCTACATTATAATATACAAAATAAACAGTGCCATGACAAAACCAACATAATGCGTTTGCGACCAGCATGGATCCAGACCAGCCTGCGCATCCGCGCATTCTGATCAGGATCCATGCTGTTCGCTTAAAAAACCCTATAACAAGTAGAGAAACTGATAGTGAACAGCATCGATCCTGTTCAGACTGTGCGGATGCGCAGGCTGGTCTAGATCCATGCTGGTCACAAACACATTACATTGGTTTTGTCATGGCGCTGCTCAAATAAATAGTGCAGGTTCTATATTACCTGTAGCCTTTGCTAAACAGACATAAAAAAATTGAAAACAAAATCTAATTGTTAATTCATGCTTTTATATTTATGTTATACTATGCAAGCAAATATGTTAGTAAATAAACCTTGTTAAAGGTGTATGAAGCTATATTCAGCAGTACCTTAATTGAAAAATATAATGTTTGAAAATTTTCCATAATACAAAGGTGCATGGACTAAATAAACCCAAAACATACAAATGATAACAGTTGTATAATTTTGGTTAAAGAAAGTTTCTGTCTGTTATTAGAAAGCAACTTTTTGCTTTAACTAAGATAAGATCATAAAAATATGAAAACATTTTGATGGATTCTGACATTTCTATTAAATTTCTCCAATCTTTGGCTTTATACAACTGAACCTTTAACTAGCTGAATTTCTAAAATAGACTGGACCCGATTCCATTTTTGGAACAATCAATTATCGTTTATGGGGATATCAAAAATTTGTTCAAAGATTCTTTGCTGACATGGCTCAAGGGAGCGTGACGGATGTTGCTTTTTTTCATGATCCCTCATGTACAGACTCAAACCAAGTCTGCAATTTTCATGTAATTTTGCTGTTTTTCATGCTTCCGAGGGATCACATTTTTCCAGATTTCTAAACTGGTGGCACAGTCTAATCAATTATAGTTTCAGCAGGTTAAGGATTAAATTGTACAACTGTTATTTTCATTAACTATTTTATCAAACTTTTAACTATATCTAACTGTTCATGCTGTCAAATATTATAGACTTTTATAATAACAAGACATATCAAGGACAACAACGAAAACCTTTAAAAGGGCAAAACGAAAAAACTTAATAAAGGCAAAAAACTAAAGCCCACAATGAAGGGAAATAAAAAAACCCCAATTTAATGAAGGACAAAATAAAAATCATTAAAAAGGGGCAATAAGAAAACATTTAGAAAAAGGCATAAAATAATTCATGAACAAATACTAAAAAATTTATTTTTAAATTTTCTCAAACGTTAAAAAAACTTTTAAAAAATTTGAAACCTAAGAAACCCTGTAAAAAAAAAAAAAGTATATTTCACTTTATTAAGAATTAACATAATTTTTATGTGAAATAAAAAATCGAAAAAAAAAAACCTAAAAAAAATTTAAACAAAAAAGGTCTTTTGATCGTGAGATAATGAAGATTCTGGAATTTTCATGCGTTTATTTTTGCCCTTTAAAGGGTTTTTAACTTTTTACTTAGCATTTAAGTTGATGCATTTTAGTATTAACGTGCACTAATAAGCAAGAATATAAATAGCAACTTTCTAGAAAATATTAGTAATCTGACTATTAGTAAGTTATATTGTACGGTTTACCTCTTCTGTTGATAGCTTTAATATGGAAACAAATCTTACACTTAACTTTAATATGTAAAGGAATATCCACAAATAAAAAGTTTTTTTTTTTGTTTTTTTTTGGTAGGGTTATTAAGTCACTGCAAAATCTTCAGTTTTACTGGATAAGGTAGACCTCACAGGCCCCTGTACACTTCTTCAAGCACTTGAACCACCCACCTTTGTAAATCTAGCTGAACATCTTCCTGACATGTATGAATCCAAAGTTCAGTGCCTATTTAGAAATCTACAGCAGTAAAGGGCAAGGGATCGAAAGTCAGAGACCTTAGCTAATTAGTCAAGGGGTCCTTATTAAGGTGCCCTTATTAAGAATTCATTTATTGTTAATGGGAGCTAATTCTGTCTAAATCAGATTTACTAATTTTTTTCTAGGTATTTAACATTATATACAATTTTGCTCAGTACACTCATATTTTAAGCCCTTTACATTTAAATAGACAAAAAGTCATGTATATTTGGCTAAACAGACTTAGCTCCTAAAATGTTTTAAAACAAGTTTGACCATTAAAAATTTACTTTAAGAGGTAAACTTTTCAGTTTGGTAGATAAAAATCTCAATAGATTTATTCCTGAATTGAGAATATTTTAAAGATAAAGAAATCCCAGTTTAGGAGGCAAAAATCTCAGCTTACGAGATTATTAGTGCAGCTTCCGATGTAAATAAGATATAAAATATCAAACATTAATATACAGCATACAATGTGAGACACAGCAACCAAGCATCATATCTGTCGTTGTTATCAAATCACATTAAATGAGCCGCGTCATGACAAAACCAACATAGTGCGTTTGCGACCAGCATGGATCCAGACCAGCCTGCGCATCCGCACAGTCTGATCAGGATCCATGCTGTTCGCTTACAAACCCTATTACAAGTAGAGAAACTGATAGCGAACAGCATGGATCCTGATCAGACTGTGCGGATGCGCAGGCTGGTCTGGATCCATACTGGTCGCAAACATACTATGTTGGTTTTGTCATGACATGACTCAAATAGTTTTTAGTCAGGAAGACATTTTTAAGTACGGCACGAAGAATCAAAGTAAGAACTGGCAATCTATTCATATTAGACGAAAATCAAATAATTTATTTACAATTAGGGTAAGGAATTATTACCTTGCTTAGACCGGTGTTCTCCCAGTCCTTGGTATGTTCTCTGGGAGGGTGCACGGGGACTTTCAGCTCCTGCTTCTCCCCTCCCTCGTCTGCCTTCAACTTTGGACCCCACGCTTCTTTAGATTCAGACTCCACTTTTTTCTGTGGTTGGGTTCCATCACCACCACCTGGTGGCTGTCATATTCATAATAAAATCAAAATATGTATGTGTAAAAAAAAAAAATTTAATTGAAAATCTGACCTGTTTCATTTGTTATCGAAATTCTCCAGATGTTTACATGTTTATATAGGTGACAAAATTTTTTGAGATCTAATGACCTTCGAAAATCACTTTGTAAAAATTCTGTACATCTAAAGGACCTTTGAATAAGTTATCTAAATTTATCGAAATACAATGATTTTTATCCAATTTTGCACATTTTCGGTCAAGAAAAAAATCAGAACAGAAATTACCACTTCTGATATAAGATACCGCTAACTTCTATACAAATGACCTCATATATTCCATAATTCTAAAAATAAACTAACATAGCAGTACCTTGTTCACCTTTTATGTAACTTACCTGTACATTAGCTTGACCTTGACCTTTCTTTGATGCCTCATCTTCCATGGCTTTTTTCCGAGCTTTAGCAAGAATTTTAGACGTGCCTTTAGGGTGGGCCTTTTCCTTGGCCTGTTCATCTTTCATGCGTACCATAGATGCTGTAAGTGGTTGGGTGAATGGACTTGGTAAATTAGCATCTTCTTCTCTTACTGAAAATGAAAATCAACAACCTAAGCATTCAAACTTTAACCTACTGATTTTTTATGGATATGCTGAGCTTCCATATTTGGAATTTTCCAATTTTTCACTTTTTCAGACATGAAAATAAAAAGGCTTGAAGCTGGTCAGCCAACAGTATCATGCTTGGTTGGACTGCATCCAAGTGCATATTTTAGGTGGATATAGGTTATTTGTTTTCTGTTATAGTATTCTAAGGTTTACATAAGACTGTTGCAAGCGTAAATTCTGTAGTGGCAAATGACATAATGAATTAAAAGATATCCTGATATGAATTATGTTAAGAGAAAAAATTCAAACTTATTAATCAATTAATTTTTGTTCAGTAAGTTTTTTCGCATGTTTGCTGAATTTTAAAATTGCACCAACATTCAAAAGGTCACCATGGCAATTGTCCCACATTAAACATGACGACCTATGGTGCTCCTCCATGTAACATTGTAGGAAAATGAGTTGACTTGAGTAGAACCATCAACCCTTTCAAAAGCTAAATGGATAACTTTTTAACTTTAAAAGAATCCATCATATCTGGCAGAAATGGACAAATGCCTATAGAGATAACTTCTTGAACAGCATTAAAGGCACATTCTGCCTCAGAAACCAAGCTAATTTTAATTCTTTAGAAAGAACAAATAGGAGTTCAATAACATTTATATAATGCTTTTAAAGCATGTTAGAGGCTCATTACCTGAAGAAAGAAGCACTTTAGGGAAACTATTTGTCATAAAAACTGCACAATGTAAACAAAATAGTAATTTGACTTCCATACAAATTACTAAATCACTATAAATGCACTAATTGCCAAAAAGCAACAGAAGAAAAAAATTGTTCAGGCAATTGACCAAGGAGGAATTCTTTGGAAACTATCACTGGATACTAGAATAAAAAGCTTTAGAAAAAAGTGAAAATAAAATCATTTCTGAGGCATAATGGGAAAGATGTACCTTTGACTAAATCAGCAATAAATGGATGATGAAGTAGTTCAGGCCAGGCCAATCTCTGCCTTGGGTTCTTCGTCAATACTCCTTGCAGGAAGTCCTTAAACATTGCACTCATATTTTTAGGCCACTTGACCGGGTCCTTAATTATCAGACTGACCAGCTGAAATATACTGTTAGTGTAGAATGGTGGTGTACCCGTGAACAGCTCGTATAATATACACCCAAGAGCCCTGAAAAGTATAAAAAGAAAACAGTTACTAAAAATTTGCGTCATTAATTTCTACTCTAAAACCACATCAGATATATGTCACTTGTTTCTTTAGCAGTATTGTAAAATAGTATGTTTGTTGGGGTTTTGTTGTTGATGCTGAACTTTAGGTCACAAAGACAAATTTACATGGTGACTTTTCAGCAAATATTTTTCATTTGACACTTGACCTTGAGCATTGTGTTTTATGGTCATTTGTCTATTGCAACTGATTCAGAAATAATGTGAGATTAGTCAGGCTGTTATTGTTAATTACTGGTTGGCTGTATCAAGGAAAGATGTATAGGTCAACTGACTGATATAAAATATGTGTCGGAATCATAACAAGAGCTGTCCGTAAGACAGCGCGCTCGACTTTTTTATTGCTTGCCAATAAAAAAAGTTTTTGCAGTAAAAGGCAATACAAGAATCTCTGTATTTTTAAAGTGAACAATGGCCATGAGCATTAAGATATTTAGTGAAGAATTATTTTACTGAATTGTGTGATACCCTTGAACACTGCAGCAAAGTTTGAAATGTTTAAGTCAAAAGAGGGCTGGTAAGAAAGAAAAAAAAACTGAGTTGAGCCTTAAATAAATTTAATTCTAAGTCGATAAAAGGCCTTAATTTTTAAAACAAATCCTTGACAGAGTTACCTTCTCTTGCGTACAGATGGGGGTAATGATGTGAAATAGCATTAAAAGTTTCAAAGCAATATCTCAAAGGGTTAAGGCAATAAGTGGATTTTACCCATATTCAATGTATTTTCTAAGTCAAAAAGGGGCATAATTCTGTCAAAAACCTTGACAGAGTTATGTCCTCTTGTCTGTTGATGAAGGTCGTGATGGTAAACAAGTATGGTCAGTTTCAAAGCAATACCTCCAATGGTTTTGAAATAAAGTGAGGTGGTACAAAAAACTTAACCAAGCTCAATACACTTTCTAAGTCAAAAAAGGGCCATAATTCTGTCAAAAACCTTGACAGAGTTATGTACTCTTGTCTGTAGATGGAGGTTATGATGGTGAACAAGTATGGTAAGTTTCAAAGCCATACTTGTAATACTTCTGAAATAAAGTGGGGTGGTACGAAAAACTTAACCAAGGTGTGACGCCAACGCCGACGCCGACGCCGGGGCGAGTAGGATAGCTCCCCTTTTCATAGAAAAGTCGAGCTAAAAACCAGACAATGAATGCAGGAATGCTTTCTTACAATAAAACAAAATTCAAATATTGCGAGAGGAATAAATCCAAGAGCCGTGAGGGGCAAAAAATCAAAGCCTTCAACCTGAGGTCCTTTACCAGCTGACCATCAAGTTAAATATTTCTTACCAAAGATCTGCTGTATGGTCATACGGTTTCTCTTCCACCAGTTCTGGTGACATGTATAAAGGTGTACCCTGTAAAAGAAACCATAAAAGCATTTCCTAAGTGATTAAAGTAATACCTTATTAAGGAATTAAATAGTGATTATTATATATATAAGAATTGAACCAATAAACTCAGATAAAATAATTTCTGGTGATATAATTTATTAATTTCTTTTACAGAAGAGGAAAAAAACTGATGTATGCTTATGAATTGTTTCTCACAAACTTCGGACTCAAAGTGCTGAGCTGCAAGTCTTTGAAATAATCATAAAATAACTTATGCAAAAACAGAGAAATAAAATGCCCTACAAAACCATAAGATTTCTAGTGTCATGATCACGATACACTTTTAATGAAAAAACACCATACAATTCCTGCTTTAAGCCACAAACAGCCTAGTAAAGCAGTAATTTACAAGTTGAGTCTCAAAACTTTGGAGGCAAAAGTGATTAGCCTTTGCCAAAAGTATAGAGCCAGGCCAGACTGCAAATCAGCAAATCACTACCTTTTTAACTATTCCAGATAAGCTCACGCCGGAGTAAGGGCACTACCCATTTGTAAGCAAGCTTATTAGCTTCCTCATAAAAAAATCTAAAAAAGTCCTTAAAATTCAAACCCATAGCAGTGAGGGATGTTGTGTCTTATATCTTCTATATATTGAGGGTTGACTGCAAAACTGCAGTAACATATATGAAATAAAGAAGGACGTACAACAGTTTTGCAGTCAGCCTTTGATATATGTTCAATAAAGCTATAGTAATACATTCTATAATCTTACCTTAATGGACGTCAAAACCAGAGTGTTGAAGCTCATGGCCCTGGCAAAGCCAAAGTCACACAGTTTGACAATGCCACCTTTACCCAGTAGAATATTCTGAGGTTTCATGTCACGATGTAAGATTCTGTGAGAGTGAAGATAATATAAAGCTGACACAAGCTGAGCTGCTATTTGCTGAACCTGAAAATAAGAAAGTAATTGGTAAATTGCTTCATTTAACATACTGGAACCATAAGTGACCAGCCTTTGCCACCAGTACAGAGACTGGCCAGCCTGCACATCAGTGGACACTGGCCAACATCAAATTCTTATTCATATACATGTTTCCCTAAATTTGTTAATGGATGGTTCCAAAAATTGAAGCTTGCCAAGTCCATTTATGAAACTCAACAGGTTAATACATGTAGTTAAAATAATTTTGCTATCTTTTCTGTTTTTTGATTGTCTAAAAAGCTTCCTCACATGAATAAATTCAATGTCCATAGCAGAATTTTATCACAATGAGATATTTAGGTATAGAGCTCTTAACAAGGGTGCCATAGTCACAAAATACGCCCGTTTACAAAAGCTTTAGATGGAGATGGGGGCATTATGGATAAGTGTTATCTAGCAAGCAAGTTTTTATTCTTGGCACTGTGTTGTTAAATGAACCTTAAAACAAATCAGTAGGGAAGATATGCACAGGATGTGTGACCTTGACCTTGGTCGCAGGGACCTGAATTTTATGCACGGCACTCAGCCTCACAATGATGAACATTTGTGCCAAATTATATTGAAATCCCTCTATGCATGTAGAAGTTTTGCTCCAGACAAGCGTTTTTCTATGAGCTCTAACTGTGACCTTCACCTTTGACCTAGAGACTTGGTTCATGTGCAGGGCACTACGTCTCATGGTGGTGAACAATTCTATAAAGTAACATTAAAATTCCTCCATGCTTGTAGAAAATATGCTCCGGACAACATCTGGATATTTAATCATCTCCAGTGACCTTGACCTTGCAAATATTAACCTAAATTAAATGTGTCACACCTGTAGTCATGATAGTTACCATTTGTGCTACAATCCATCAATAAATGATGACTAAATGGTCCCTATACACATCTTCAAATTTTTATCTGAACTTTGACCTCTATGTGTAACCTTGACTTTGGTCGCATGGATCTGAATTTTGCGTGCGACACTCACAATGGTGAACTTTTGTGCCAAGTTATATTGAAATCCCCCTATGAATGTAGAAGTTTTGCTCCGGACAAGCGTTTTTCAATGATCTCTAAGTGTGACCTTGACCTTTGACCTGGAGACCTGGATCATGCATGGAGCAATACATATCATGGTGGTGAACATTTCCATAAAGTATTATAAAAATTATTCCATACATGTAGGAGATATGCTCCAGACAAAATCTGGATATTTCACCATCTTTAGTGACCTTGATCTTGCATATATTGACCTAAAGTACATGTGTCACTGCCGTAGTCATGATAATGACCATTTGTGTTACAATCCCTCAATAAATGATGATTAAATCGTCCCTATACACATCTTCATATTTTTATCTAAACTTTGACCTCTATGTGTGACCTTGACCTTGGCTGCAGGGACCTGAATTTTGTGCGCGACACTCCACCTCACAATGGTGAACATTTGTGCCAAGTTATATTGCAATCCCTCTATGCATGTGGAAGTTTTGCTCCGGACAAGCGTTTTTAGATGAGCTCTAAGTGTGACCATGACCTTTGACCTAGAGACCTAGTTCATGTGCGTGACATGGCTTCTCATAATGGTGAACATTTCTATGAAATTTCATTAAAATCCCTCCATGCGTGTAGGAGATATGCTCCGGACAAAATCTGGATATTTCATCATCTTTAGTGACCTTGACCTTGTATATATTGACCTAAATTATATGTATCACAGCCATAGTCTTGATAATGACCATTTGTGTTACAATCCCTCAATAAATGATGACTAAATGGTCCATATACACATCTTCATATTTTTATCTGAACTTTGACCTCTATGTGTGACCTTGGCTGCAAGGACCTGAATCTTGCGCGCGACACTCCGCCTCACAATGGTGAACATTTGTGCCAAATAATATTGAAATCCCTCTATACATGTGGAAGTTTTGCTCCGGACAAGCATTCTTCAATGAGCTCCAAGTGTGACCTTGACCTTTGACCTAGAGACCTGGTTCATGTGCGCGACACTGCTCCTCATAGTGGTGAACATTTCTATGAAGTTTCATTAAAATCCCTCCATACATGTAGGAGATATGCTCCGGACAAAATTGGACGCCGCCCGCCCGCCATGGTTCCCATAATACGTCCCGTTTTTCAAACGGGCGTATAAAAAAGAAATAAATCATAGATCTTAATTGTTATGCAATACTTTCAATCTTAAACTGTCAAAAAGGCAATTAGAAGTGAAGCTTATATTTAATACATTTATGATTACACTTCCCTTTATAAAGATAACAGAGGGATTATAGAAGTATCAAATTTAAAAATGAAATTGTGTTTCTCTATCAATATTTTATGCATTTTATCAATGACTATGAGTATTAAACTAGTCAAATTGTAGAAAAACACCATTACATTACCCAATTATAAAGAAAACATGTTCAAGATAAATTATGTCATTTAAAGAACAAATAAACAATACCAGGCTCTGTTACTTAATCACTAGATCAGTATCTCTTGGCCTGCTAAACATTGATTGGATTTCTCCAGATTGGTAGATGGGCAAGAGTATTAAAGATATTCAAGGGTAAAGAGCCAAAAATAACAAAAAGTGAATGTATATGTCAGATATAGAACTTCACAAAAATTTAAAGAAAGAAAAACAGAGAAGACACAACCAACCTGCTCTTCTGGTAGATTTCCATCATCTTCAAGTATTTGAAAAAGCTCACCCTCAGCATAATCTGTTACCACTGCAACCTAAGTAATAAATTATACATGGATAGAAAACTTGTTTTCTTTGTCATAAATTAAGACTACAACATCAGCATTACTAGAACATGTATATTTGTTTTGGAAAATTTCTATATGCATGCCTAATTTCTGAGTTTGGCTGAAGAATATTGTGGATACAAAAATATACTGAACAGATTTTCACTAAGGCCGTCTATAAGTTGGCCCTAAAAATATGGCAAAAATGGGGTTTATTTTATGAGCAAGTTATGCATCCCCAATTAAAACGATTACTTGTTTATAATTCATTAACACGAAAGAGAAAATCAATCTTTAACCTGCAAATAGCAAAACAGCTTAACAATGTTTATAATTCACTATGAAAAAGTGTTTTATCAAAGGGACTGTACTTTCCTTGTCCCTTGCTATTTTTTAAGGATTTCTTTGATATGTTTACACAATAATGCAAACACTTAATAGCTCACCTCTTTGTCAGTATCAAAACTGTCTGACATTTCTATAATGTTCTCATGATGAAGGTGTCTCATGATATCTATCTCTCTACGTAGATTCCTCAACTCTTTCTCCGGCTTTCCTACTTTTGGGATAAACTTTATTGCAACAATCTGAAATAACAAAATTTTGTCATATGAAATTATATCCCACAGTAGGATAATCAATTTCTTATTTTTCTATGATGAATTATATGAGAAAATCAATTCTGAAATAACATAGTCATGAAAATGTACATCTGCTATAGTCTTGAAATCTTAATTTGTCTTGTCAAAGATTGTGAACACCACATATAAAATGGTGCTTACGCTCGACTGAGTTATTTAAGATTTTAAAGTCTCTTCTAGCATGAAACAGTATCTTAAAGTTGAATATCAGATGAGAAATTTGCCATCTGATTTGTTCCTATAAGGGGGAGACTTTACCAGGGGTTTAATAATCCAAATGTCAAAGTCCTTTATATTACCAGTGGGTTTGGACTGATTACAAAAAGTGTGTAAGAATTACAGAAAGTCAGCAACACTACCTGTCCTGTATATTTCTTCCTTCCCTTATAAACCTTCCCGAAGGAACCTTCTCCAATAAGCTCCAGCACATGATAATTGTCTGCCATTCTTTCTAGTAAGACAACCTATACAAGCACATGAGGAAATCTCCTGAAACATTATGACAAAAACAGCATTTATAGTCTAATGCAAGATGTACATTTTAGATTTATGATACCTATTGTCCCTTGCTGAAACAAATTGTTCTGAAAAGTGGTGTTCTGACAGACATGACCTATAAAATTTGGAATGATCAAGAAAAAATTCAGTCCTGACCGATCCGAATGACAAGTAAATATTCAAAAAGTCAAATATTTTAAATTTAACTTATACCCGAACAATAATTGGAAATAATACATGTATATACTTCTTTTCCATACTAGCAATCAGGATCAAAACACACAAAAAATTTAAAGAAGGCTAAAAAAATCCAGGGTTTCCACTGGTTTTTTTCAAAAAGGGGTACATGTACCCATCATGTCTGTCTAATTTTAGGGGTACAGATCAAATTTTGTGGGTTCGTACTTTAACATGGCATAAAACATCATGTCCTTACTTTCAAACAACACAGTTCATTTTGTTATACTGAATTTCTGGCTGAATCTTTTCTTCCCTACAAAAACTCATTTTGCTATATTATATCAGTGTTCAATCTAGAGCGCGCCATTGACCCCCTGAAAAGACCGCCAGTGCAAAACAAATTCAACTGTGGGCCCGATGGGCGCACTCATAGAAAATGCCCTAAATGACATTAGAATGCTTTCTTAAACCTGATTAAGTACATAAAAAAGTTTCTTATGAATTATATTAATAAATACTGAATTCAAAACTGAAGTTTGTATAGAAAAACAAGAGCACGTTGGTAAGATAGTTACCGCACTCGGTAACCCTTTTAAAACCTTGATGGCTACGCTCTCTCGGCCAGGGTCTAGACTTGTTCTTCGTACCGTAACTATTACTTACTTTTGAGTCACAGTTTTTATAAACAAAACAAATCGTCACAGATAATCCAATACGTGCGTGTAGTTATAGTTTTTTCACAGTCAAAACAAATAAATATGTCATAACCCGGAGGAAAAAAAAAAACTATACATTTGTGAAAAGTGCAAGTTAATTATAGAGAAGTGTGCATAAATTATTACAAACACGCCTTCATCCAATTAAAAAAGTCTTAAAGATGGAGCTAATCAAACACGATTGGCTAGGGAGTGTCTGACAATTGAGTAAATAAACTTGATTGGTCTTTGGCTGGTCGGCGCTAAAACATTGTGCATATCATTAATCGATACAGACATCTGAAGTGTGATGTAAGAACTGCTGCCCTGACAGAAGATGAAAGGTACCGGTATGTCAATATATATGTCTTAGCACCTGTTGACACATTGTTTTTCACTTGGATATATTGAGATGGGTAAATGGTGTTAGCGACTATTGTAAGTTTATATTCTTCATCAACAAAGCTAATTGGGAAATAATTATATGATTTTCTTTTATATATCGGGCGCTGATTATACAACTGAACATTATTATCAAATATCCCTGGTAACATTAAAATAAGATTCATATGTTTCTTCGAACATTATGTCATCGTTTCTTTACCAATCAGTTCATAAAATTGAGCCTGTATCAACGCTAACAGAACTCTCAAAAAAGGTCAAAAAATAATGTCATTTTTCAGAGAGCTGATTGTTTAGGAATTTTGCAACCGTTTTTGGTCTATATATGGTACTTGAACAAGTAACTTAATAGAAAAAATACCTTATTTGAATTTGATGTTCTTTTAAGTGTGGGCCCCCTTTTTTCTCAAATGACCCCCTTTTTTGGGAATTTATTCTAGCTTGAACACTGTTATATTATAGTTTTATGATTTGGTAAGATGGAAAAGTAGCAAGGATTAGTGAGATTACTTAGACTGCTGCTCTTTTCCCTTTTCAGTATGAAAATGTTACCCAACATTATTAACTGTTTCACTTAAGTTGTTTGTTCATGCTGCAGTTTAATTGCAAGGAAATGATGTTCCAAACAAAGTACTGAGTTACAGTTTTGTATTTTGATGAACACTATTATGAACACTATTAAAGAGTATTTTATCAGAAATCAGACTATAAAATACTCTTGGGCTTTCTCAAACTAGGTTAACAAAAATTAGCTTAGAAAAAATCAATACTCTTGCCACAAATAGTAAAGCCATTCAAATCTTCTAAACATACATGTAGTACCAGTGCTTTAATTTCCTTTTAAACAATATCAAGTGTATTATAGTGGAATCTGTCTAATCCGAACTCATCCAGACCAGAAGAAAAGTTGAAAATGAATAAATATTTATAAAATAATATGACTTAGCCGGCTATAACTTTCATTCATTCCGTTGAAATGGGCAGTTGAGATGTTGTAAGAAAATAAACTTGAGACATTTGCTGATCTAGGTTCATTATTAAATAATAAATGAATAATTATATACTTGCAATTTAAGTTATGATAATACTAAGAGGTCTGCGGGCCCTGGCTTTGGCTTTCCCGGCTATAGACTACACATGTATATTTAAAAGAAAATCAAATAAAAAAACAATTAAAAATATATAGAATTTGATACCTATCAATGAAATTTTCAGTGTCAGTTATAGTTAGGTGCCACCATTTACAATGTAACTCAATGATAATAGACGGTGTATTCTGATAACGGAACAAATCTCAACTTTTCGGGTTAATTATAATCGTCGAGTGTTCCGAGTGAAAACGAAAGCGGTGCATGAAATACAGACTGACACCTTTAAAACAGAAAAATGAAAGGAATTTTTAACGACTTTCCCGTTCATAGGCTTTGTCTAATTTCATATTATTTGTTGCCTACATTTCAATTTTTCAGGTATAATTTTGTTGTAATTTCATGCGAGTGTCCATTATAGCGAGCTCGACGAGCTGGCCCAAAGGGCCTGCTCGCAAAGCGAGCTTTACGGTAACGCGAGTACCTGCTAAGTGATGGTTTTGAAAACTTTCGTCCAAAGTAACGAATTTGACACATCGCAACCTTTCGAATTGAAAGATAACGATAAAAACTGAGGAATTCTGACTGAAAACGGATGTGTAGACTGGTCACCCGCGCACGTCTATGGGAACCATAATTGGACAGGGAACCAGAATAACGGAAGCTGTGTATAAAAAATGAAAATCGAAGGCGCCATTTTGTTTGAAAAATCTGATAAATAAAAACATTTTTTTTGTCAAATTTTGTTGTGAAAACTATCTAGAATGAAAGAAAATGGTCTAACTAAGAAAATGAATCCGAACACCAATATCTTTTATTCAGTCGTTAACGCTGTACAGACGTTTAAAGTATTGTTTACGTGACGTCACAGCGTAGCGCCAAACAGCACGTGCAAAACAAACAAATCAAGTACACTAATTTAATGTCGCAAACGTGTTAAGTATTACATTTATTTCACTTAAAAAATCTTTATTTCGCTTGAAAAATTATAGAATGAAATAAAATAAACAAAGTTTTATCAACGTTTTCAAAATTCGTTATTCATTTCACGACAGGGGCGGAGCCATATTTAACACAGTACGTGTGACGTCACACGCACTCGTCACTGCATTTGAAATAAAAATGAGCTTTCATACAAGTACATCGAGCTCGCTTTGAGGCTTTGCCTTTTTCATATTATTATTTATTAATTTAAATTCATTATATGGGGAAGTTTATTTCAATTTTTTAGTATAAATGTTAACGACTTCTTTAGATTTTTGGCTATGTTTCAAGTCTTTATGTTCGAAACTTAACACAGAGCTCCATGCTATAGCATGCTATCTGGACCTTTTTTAACAGTAATTCCTCTAACAAAATTTCTAAATAACCGATTGTTTATTCACACAATGGATAGCTCAAATCGATAAAAACCCAGGGGAACAAAATGTGCAAGTATTTATTGCAATAATGAAGAAGAAAGTCAAAATATCTCCACTTATCAAAAGGTAAATTATTAGTTTTCGCGACCACAGTTACAAATAAATTAAATGACAGTTTATATACAACTTTAAAATGCTATCTAAAACAATACTAACAGCAAATTAGGAGTAAATCTCATATGACAAGTTTGATTATTCGATAGACAGAATGTAGCGTTTTATGCAGTAATACAACTTTTAATCTTGTCCGACAACCAAATTGTTGGATTTGTTTACATCTTTCTTTGCGCATGTGCAAGGAATGTAGACTGGTTCTCTTATATTTTAGGTAGAATGCCACTAAGTGCTGACAACGGCTTTTTACGGAATTCCATAAACGACAGCCTACTGTTTACTGTCAACTGCCTACTGCTTACTGTCAACGGCCTACTATCAACTGCTTATTTTAAACTGCTTATTGCTTACAGCGACTGTTTAATGCTTACTGTTAATTGATAAATGCCTACTGCTACACCTGTCTATTACCCGATTAATTGCCTAAATGTTGACTTTTATGTCCTTCTTCCAATGTGTTACAATGAGGCCGTTTGAAACAGTTTTGGTCAAGGAATTACCCAGTATCATTTATGAGGACTTTGACTGAAACCTTGGAACTTGTTACATTTATACATGTACATGTATAATTCTCGTTTTACTAAGCAGGAAAAAGTATACTGTATATCTTTGCAGGCATCTGGAACTTTTCCAAATCATAGACCTGTGAACTTTATAGAAATATGTTAAACTTACCAAATATTACTTTTTTTCTGTCATTAAATCTTGTTCGGTAATTTTGAGCTACCATATATAACTGCTTGCTTAATTAGATACATCTACCATATACGCCTAACATGTATATTATAATATGTGTTCATTAAATGATATTGACCTTACCCTATAACTATAGAGCTTAATGGTATTTTTAAACGGAGGCCTTGCAATGTCATGAACGTCTTTGTTGTTACATTTAAATCACAATGGTCAGTTTTAAGTTCGCTATTCGAAAATAATGCTATAATGTTAAAAAATAATCTAGGTAACGGTTCTCAAAACATAGATACATTTATATAGATTTTCAGAAAAAAAAATATATACCATGCAGTCACGTCTCGGATTACCCAGTAGTTTATTCTGATAAACGTCAAACGTACTGGGAGAGTATAAACAATCATACTTGTATCTTTCTCTTGAAAATGTGTCAGAGTTAAATTGTATACATATACATGCACAGTGCGTTAACTGGAGTGCAGGTATAAGTTACCCGCACTCCAGAGCATGCACATTGATTGGCCCATTTTTGCTGGGGTTTTACATAGTGTGACGACAGAGAAAGGGAAAGCGACAGAAATATCATATTCTGATGCTCGTTCATTGGTTACTTTTTCCCGGGGTTTCATATTGTGACAACAGGGAACGTGTTTTTATGTTTGACTATGATACAAAAGAGAAAGAACATCAAAACAATTGGCAATCTGATTAATACTCGGGGGCTACGCCCCCTCGTACAAATCAGATAGCCTCGAATTTCGTTGCTCTTTCTATTACATGAAACCGTTTAGTTCTATCTAAAAAAGTTAATACTTGTTCTTTTGATTGTAGACGGTACATTAATACCTTAATTCAACAAAGTCTTAGATTTGTCTCAAGAAAATGTTACTTTAGTAGATGTTAAAAAAGCATGATGAGTAACATGTCAATTATTGTGTTATAATTGGAAAGTCGATGCATAATAAAATCATTGAAAGATCTTTGAGTTACTTGGGCATTATTAATACAAAGTGTTGTTAGTATTTGTTTATCGATATGATGAACTGCGGTATCCTAAATTTGAGGCACTGTACACATAATGCCTTCTGCATGTAATTTCTTAGTTTTTGCAGTATTGCCTGTGTTAAATTCTGATTTTTATAATTTATGATAAAGGCATTAAAGCCACATGATAGAAAACAGATTAATCAATATATTGCTGGACGGCCGTCTTTTTATTTCATTACCTTAAGAAGAGTGTTTAGTTAGTATTTTAAAGAAATATATTCAGGTAACTTGTCAGATATTGGAGCTTCAGATGTATTTTTTATGTAGCTTATGATATAACGTAATCTTCATCTTCCTAATTCATACTTTTCGCGATCCCATCCATTTAAAATTGATGGACTAAGACACTGTTTAACCCATTACCCGACATACACGCCTTTTAACGCCTTTTCACCCCTTTTTTTGTTGTCTCAAATGGTAAAAAGATAAGTGACAAGTAGAACTTACAAGTGGACTTCACGGTATGGACTCTCATCTTATCATTTTTTCACCGACACAAAATCAGTTACAGCCAATTTACATTCAATATCTTTTTTACTATGATTTCGAGATAATATGTGTAGGTCAGAGCCTCACATGATCCACGTAAAATTTGCGATTTTGATAGAAAATGACTCTAGCAATTTTATAAAATATACCCACGCTGACGGGTGTAAACATGATAAAATCCTCCATTACTCCGTATCGTACCTTTTCATCTCGCTTAAAAAAGTATCGTACCTCTATACGTTCGACACCCCAGTGAAAATGATAAAAGACTTAACTATGTAAATTGACGGTAGTGAAATTCACTCATCTGATAATTCGAATTGGACAGATAAAAGCCGCATGGAGATTTAAACACCAGGAAAGTATTCTAATAAACAGATCTCAACTTTGCCAACAGCAAAACAAACATGTGATACATGTATATTGAATCGAATGTAGTTGCTGCATTGAATAGATCCGGTTATATTAGAGTAAAAACTATTCCCACCAAAATTAAATCGCATCGTCGTGTCGTGTTGCTTTGCGGCGACATCGCAATGCCAAAGGCGAATTAACTATAAATCATTGAGGATTCTATCTTTACAGACATTTTACAAAAATACTTTCGTGTAAAAAACGCATGAATTCACCTTCAAAATGCGATTAATAACCAGGGCAGTTCTATTTGAAAGACTCAGTAATTACGCAAATACACGATTTCCACAGACTGTACAAAAATTATAATTTCGTCAGATTATTAGAATACCGACAATGTAAAAGCGCGTGAATTTCGTGCAAATCGACTTTCAGAGTAATTCTAGACGTGACATATATGACTTTGTGAACTACTGATAAAAATGGTGGAAAAAGCAGCAATCATTAGAGCGCGTTCAAAGCATGAAATAAGAGATAGAAAATAAAAATTTTGAAATACATGTATGTAGAAGATATACTTATTGGCAAAAAAAACACATATTATAATATTATCTCCAAAGGCACATTATGTGTCAGAAATCCATTTTATTTCAATTACACATCCGTACCATATACATGTACAGTATCAGGCATGATTTCAATATTCTAGTCTGAAATAAATGTATTGGATTAAGTACTGCTAATTAAACGGTTCAATTTTCATCCTTGGTTTACATGAATTACTTATCGTGAATTACGATTTCAGCTTATGTTTATTACCAAAAATGCTACATCTGATCACAGGCGTGTTATCTCTGAAACAAAACTTTCAATGATACGGTACTTTTTGCTTTGAAACAATATGATTTAATCATTGTTGAACTTTAAGGAAATTACATGAATTAAGAGCAGTATAATAAAGGAATAATACATAGTACCTCAGACCCTGTTGTTTCAATTTAGATTACTAATATGAAGAAGTCCTCTAATATTTCCTTAAACAGAGGACTTTTTGTTTGCGCTTTTTGATTATTGAACTCTTATATATATTCTCATATATTTTCGTAAATCTGACATAAATGAAAATTAGTTCACGTTTAAAGTCCTTACCGTTTTAAGTCATCCCAAAATTACTGTTTTCTTGGTGACGAAGCTTACTAAAGCATTCAAGAACGAAAAAATGTAGTGTTTGCCAAACGCAAAATGCGCATGCGCGAAATGCAACGTCCGTTACTATGGAAATAGGTGAAATATATTGCATTAAATGTTCCAAGCAATCTTTCTAATTTATGTTTTAATACCGCATTTTGTCGATAATTGTCACTTAATCAATTTAATTTACAGCCTCACGTCATGTTAAACATTTACAGCGGTTAGTATGCCTTTTTAGCACGCATTCAGTAAAGCAAAAAATATCAATAAAGAGCAAAAAATCTTTTAGAAAAAAAAAAGGATAAAATATTCCGTCCATATTTTGATCTTGATGTTATATACAAGTTGTAACTGACCTTGTAATTTTAGTATACAAAGACATACTCTATTTTATTTGCAATCTAGAACTTTAAGCATCAACATTATTTACAGAACTATACTATACTATATGTATATTTCACATCATTTTTTTACAAATTGAGAACAATTTCTTTATTTAATTCAAATAAGCTTGAACGGAGATAAAATAAAAACAACTTGTACATTTTCATTTAAATGATTTGTTTTAGTTTATTTGTTTTGGTTTTACGTCACACCCACACAGTATATATATGACGTCATATGGCGACGTTCCAGCTTTACTGGTGGATGGTGCCATTCCATGCATTATTTCAGGCACGAACGGGCACCTGAGTAGAACCACCGACGTTCCGTAAGCTAGCTGGATAACTTCCTTACATGAAAGCGATCCCGTGAAATTTAGTTCAGCAGATTTTCTGCAAAATGGCTCGCGTTTCTGTGTGTTCGGGAATATATAAATAGAAACAGTCATGCCGAAAATGAATTGTTGTATGACGCGTTAATGGAATTCCATGATTAAGGACTGTTATCAAAGTTTCTTAAAGCGTGACTCACTTCCATAATTACGGAATTTTGGAATTTTATGAAAGTTTCTTAAAGCGTGACTCACTTAACTACAAGACTACATGACGTCATTGAGCCATATATAGGAAAGATGCGCAGTTCCTATCTATAAAAACAAGATAAAACCAGATGGCCTTATTTTATCATTAGTCAGGATATACTTAAGACAAAACAACATAAAATATTTTCAATAACAGTACAATGAAAGCAGGAGTGATAATATTCTTTACGTTTCTTACGGGTATGTGTATTTTTCACCCTATTTATATAATACGCTGCTGAACTTCTTTAACAAACGTCTAGAACGTAAAAACGTGCGTTTAATGTCCGCAAAACCACTTGCAATCATAGCAATTCATGTAGTACAAAAAGAATAACGAATAACGAGCGGAATCATAACAAGAGCTGTCGGAAGGACAGCACGCTCGACTATTCTAAGTGCTTGATAGTAAAAGAGCCTTGATAATGTTAAATTTTTTAAGTTCACAAAAGGGCTAATTTCTTTTTATAAGTTCATGTTATAGGCCTTAGAGACAGTCTAATTATACAGTATTGGCTTGACTATTCGGAAGGTAATGTCACAAGGGTGTTTTATTGAGTATAATAATACTAATTACCTATGAATACATAAATTTGACAGAAAAGGTACAAAGGCTTGTTATTAAGATGTTTTAGCAAGTAAATCACTGCTTTATTATTATTAATGCATAAAATTGTCCCAAAAAAGGCACAAACCCTTTAGTACTTATTGAGATAACAGCTTACAAGCAAAACTTTACCATGAATTTCTAAGTTGAAAAAGGGGAGAAAAATCAGCCTAAATGCAAGATAGAATTATGGATCTTTGTCAGTGACCTACAATTATGACCCTAAATGCATATGTGAAGTTTTAAATAAATACATTTAATAGTTATTGAGATATGTAAACTTGCATGTTAACATTAACCAAGAGACTAAGTAGAAAAGGGGATATGAATCAGCCTTAATGCAAGATAAAGTTATGGAACTTGGTCAGTGACATACAATTATGACCCTCCAATTATGACCCTAAGTGCATGTGTAAAGTTTCAAGTAAATATCTTTGAAGACCTTTAACCTTTAACCAAAATTTCGAAGTTTCAAAGGGGCAAATAATTCTGCAAATATTGCAGACAGAGTTATGTAATTTTGCAAACTGATGTACATTGTTACTATAAAAAAGTATTTTAAATTTCAATTGAATATCTCAAGCAATAATTGAGATATTTGACTTTACAAAAAACTTTAACCAAAATTTCTAAGTTAAAAAGGGGCATTATTCTGTCAATATTGTAGGCAGAGTTATCCAACTTGTCAATCTGATGTACCTTGTTACTATAAATAAGTATTGTAAGTTTCAATTGAATATCTCAAGCAATAATTGAGATATTTGACTTTACAAAAAAACTTTAACCAAAATTTCTAAGTTCCAAAGGGGCATAATTCTGTCAATATTGTAGGCAGAGTTATCAAACTTGTCAATCTGATGTACCTTGTTACTATAAATAAGTATTGTAAGTTTCAATTGAATATCTCAAGTAATAATTGAGATATTTGACTTTACAAAAAAACTTTAACCAACGCAGACGCCGACGCGGACGCTGACGCCGACGCCGACGCCGGGGCGACTACAATAGCTCTCATATTCTTCGAATAGTCGAGCTAAAAAGGGGATAAAATTTGTTTCCGTGTACATTCAACGGAGCAGGATGTAATTGATATGGCGTCATAAAACCACATCCGATAAATTGAACCCATGGTTAAATCTCGTCACCGCCATTTAGAGTATTGTGCTAGATCTATACACAGACACTGGGGGTGTGGAGCTCAAAACGCCCTTAAAATCCAAATAAAATGCATATTTGACTTATTTGTCAATCCCAGCACATGTACTGGTCATATATATATAAAAAAAACTTAATATAAGCCGTTTTGAAAAAAATCATATTTCAACATCTATTATAATTATTATTAATTTATAGATGTTGAAATACGATTTTTTTTCAAAACGGCTTATATTACGTTTTTTTATATATATATGATCAGTACCTGTGCTGGGATTGACAAATATGCATTTTATTTGGATTTTAAAGGCGTTTTGAGCTCAGACCCCCCAAGTGTCTGTGGATCTATTTATATACATGTAAAATGTTTTTTACTTTTTTTTAATCTTACTGAAGAAAAACATGTTACATAAAATTGTTACAAACATATATATTTTGTGGTACATACTGTATAGCAATCAGACAAAAGAGAGCTCATATGGTATCGGACTTACCGCTGAGGCGGGGCAAAATACGACCGATGGCAAATTTAGTATTGAACTTACACTCATTCAATATCCTCTAGAGTACATACATTTGTATTGTAAATATCACAAATGATGATTTTCCCGTCAAAATTAATGTGAATTGACGAGGAAACAGTTTATTTTTATGACAATAAATTGTTTGCATATAAAGTGGCATAACTTTGTCAATAAAAACTCAAGCTTGATCCGTGTTTTGACAGAACATATATGCATGTCATATATAAACACAACTACTAATCGAAATCCTTCAAAAGTTATCCTGTGGAAACCTGTCTAAAGACGGATATAAACCATAATGCGCACAGGAGTTTTTTCGGGCATATAACAATGCGGACTTATAATACATTGTTTCTTTTCTTTAAAATTAATTTGACGGAATTTCTATTTAATTCAACAACATATGAACAAATAATACGCATCTATCATGGAAATTATTCTTATAATTATTCTAGTGACGTCATGTAGTCTAAGACGTTTTCTGGACTGTAATGGAGGTTTTGAGTGTCCGGATATTGTGTCACCAATATGCGGAACAGATGGACACACGTATGGCAATCAATGTCACATGGACATGGAAAACAAGAGAAGAATTTGCTGGTATCTAACATCATAATTAGTTGGTTTTTTGTTGTTTTTTGTTGTTTTTTTTTCAAACATAAGCGTACATTTACATGTTCTGCATGTAGCACTTGCGTTAATGGTTAATGAAATTGTCTAGGGTTGATATTATCTATTTAAAAAAAATCATGTTCTAAGTAAATTGATGCATTGTCCTTTACAAATAATGCAGGGTTAAACACCAAATAATAGAGGGGTTTTTTTCTGGAAAAAAAATTCAAACTTTTTTGTGCAATCGTGTCTATAGCTCTTTGGGTTTATGTAGCATTGAATCTCCGAAGGTGAGTAAGAAAATATTAGCTGCACAAGTAGGACATTACTATAACCTCTTTGCTACTGTCTTTATAAGCTTTCATATGATCATGCTCAAATTCATACTATTTTGCAAAAACCTTATATTATTCATTCCAGGATTGGTCATTTCAACATGGTTATGAAGGTCAAGGATGGACCCTGTGATGTGCCAACTTCAACACCATCAGTCCATTAAAATTCTACCTGTTTCGTACAATAACAATATATAAATAAAACTGTTAAATTATTCCAACTTCAATTTAATCCTTCTCCCTGGAAAATTGAAAAGTGATCCGATTTTACCACAGTTTATAGCAAGGCAAGCCTGCACATTCGTGAAGACTGTCGGCTGCTAAGTTAAATTGTTAATCTTGATTTCCCCAAATTTTATAATGGACAGTTCCAAAAACAGAAACTGATCCGGTCCATTTTAGAAATTTAGCAAGTTACCATTACATTAATATTTTGCATTTTTATACATATGTAGAACATGACAGACATTTGTTCATTTTATTATAAGAAACTAACATGTTACAACAGACAGTTGGAAATAAAACAATAGTATTAATACACTAAGACAATGGGCCAAGATATACATAAGTATAAAACAACAATTTGGAAAATGACCTTGAACTTTGACCTTTCATACACTTCCGTCACAAACTAGATCCCATTAATAGTACAATGTTAATATTGAAATGATAAGGATAGTGCAGGATAAACTTTTATCAAACAAATCAAAAACCCTCAAGAGACATATTACACACATTTATACATTTTTTTCATAACATTTTGCTGTAGTTGTTGTCTTTTGTATGTGATGGTGATAGGTCATATGGCAACTGCCCAGTTTTGCCATTGAAGGGAGACCTTAGATGCACACAAGGCACATGATATCTTTTGCAGCATTAAAACAACAAATGCTCCAACATGAGTTCCAAATTTGGAAGTCACAGACTTCAAAATCTCTTATATAGGAAGTCTCATTATACATGTATAAGAAAAGAAGGAAAAGCATTACATTTTGGAAGTCACAAGCCAAAATGAATGAGTAAATGATTCCCAAATCTAACGGAAGCACTGAATCAACTTCAAGTTACAGACATGCACCAATTTACCCAATAGAATATGTTGATAAAAATCTTGCATCTCACAAGACAACCATTGTTAAGTAAAGGACATACATGTATGCAGAGAATTGTGTAAAGAACGAGTCATTAAAAACATGTTATCAAAAATGACATATCATGTTTATTTACAATGTATGGTATGACAAATATATAAACAAAGTTAATGTAACACTGTCTTTATTCATGTATTATCTTGTTCTAGTTTATCAGCTTTTTGTTGTTGCCTTGTTTTCTGACTCTCCAGATAATTCTTAAATGACTGATATTCCCTAACTTCTTCTTCATCTGAAATTGTAAAACAAATGAGCCGCGTCACAACAAAACCAACATAATGGGTTTGCGACCAGCATGGATCCAGACCAGCCTGCGCATCCGTGAAGTCTGATCAGGATCCATGCTGTTCGCTATCAGTTTCTCTACTTGTTATAGGGTTTGTAAGCGAACAGATGGCTTGTGACCAGCATGGATCCAGACCAGCCTACACATCCTCCAGTCTGATCAGGATCCATGCTGTTCACTTTGTTATAGGGTTTGTAAGCAAACAGCATGGATCATGATCAGACTGCCGGATGCGCAGCCTGGTCAGGATCCATGCTGGTCGCAAACACATTATGTTGGTTTTGTCGTGACGAGGCTCAAATTTGGTAGGATTTTAAGTCTGTTGGGCATTAAGTCATACTCCAACTGGAAAAGGTCATACGGCAAATTCCAGCTTTGCTGATGGTGGAAGACTTTGGGTGCCTCTTCATACTTTCAGGTATAAGGATACTCTTAAGAAGAACCACTGACATTCCATATGCTAGCTGGAAACCTTACACACATGAAAAAATCCAGTCTTACATTGGATTCATGCCAAATGTGGTGTGGGACAAGTGATTTAAAGACAGCAAACATAAACCACTCTGTCACTAACTGGGGGGGGGGGGGGGGGGCTTCATAGATTCACTGGAAAGTCCAATGGGAATTTTAGGGAGACTAAAGGAAACTGCTGAGCATATAATGATTTAAAGAATAGCTGCTATTGATAATCTTATACTTCCCTGAAGAATTAATTTAAATGGATTCTCTTTTCCAACAGGAACATTAATGTAGACTAACACTTTGGATTATTACCCTCTTAATATTTTTTGTAATGTTAATGTCCAATAGGCCAATGGAAAATATTCTTATGATTAGTTCACCAAGTGACAATAAATGCAGTACTGTTATATGGGTAACATCATTTTCCTGGCATAATATTTTTACTGTTACTCACAGACCTGTGTTATTTATATTATGATATTATGATTCTGAATTGAGGAAAAAAGTCTGTCGGCATTGGGAATGCCTCCATTTCCCAGAAGTAACTTATATAGGAAAACAAAAGACCAAATAATGTGACTTTTTCTTTACCAATAGGTTCATCTTGTTTAAAATCTTCCTCACTGTCTTCATCATCATCTATACCACGATTTATTGTCATCTTTGACGTTCTCATCCTTATACCTGTATATGTAATGAAAACATATATATGTACATTATAATTGCTTTAAAAATTAAATCTAAATATAATAAAATCTGTATGATAATAATAACATAGGTCAGCCAATAGTCTAGAACCTGGTATAGACCCTGTCTGGTACGTGAAATGGTGCAGATTTTCTGTGTTACGGTGCTTCCATCCAAGATGGATGATGAATGATAAGCAACAAGAAAATATGTGTCATTCTATGAATTTTCTATGTATTTAGACAAATGCGTTCTATAGTAAAAGAAAAGTATAGTTGCAAATAAGGTGAAAAATAAATTCACTATAAGATCACTTTATGTTCACCATGAATGTTACATATCATATAGACTAGGAAGGTGCAGGTCGTCTGGCTCGATAGTGGTGGCAAGGAATTCCTCTATAAATGGATATTCCGCATGTTGAAAAGTTAGCAAATTTAAAATTCCAGACATTTCGCAAGAGGAAATGTTAGAGAATTGTGCAAAGGTAGAACTTAATAACAGGTTGGTAGATATTAACACTAGAAGAAATTTAAGCAATTTTTGTCAATTCATGAAATTCGCCAATATTTCCACGCCACTAACTTAACTACTTAAACAGTAGTTCCAGCAAGTTAAAAGTTTAGTTAAAAAGTGAGGTATAAAAACACAAGATGATATGAGTTTAGTTCACCTTCAGTCTCCATCAATTCCTCTTCTCTATCTTTAACCACTTTATTCAATTCCTGCTCCTTTCTCTTTCTATCTTTTTCCTTCACTTCTTTCTTCTTTCTCTCCAACATTGGTTTATAATCTCTACAACAAAAAGTGAGAAGAAAAAATTAACAGGTATGACAATATGGATATAGATTCCATTATTTTATTACCCATAAATTTGCATAATGAATTTGTCTTGCTTTGATCTTGGCAACAGTCAGTTTTTTTCCTTAGGGAACTTGATGTTCAATTAAGCAGCTTATAGTATATAGTGTGGTCTGAATGTATGAATGGACCAACTGGCCCAGCACTTTACTGTTAGCATATACATCTTGTTATCATCACAAGCATTCACTTGGTTATCAAATAATTAAATCTAGGTTATCAACATAATGATAACCCCTCTTAATTCAAGAAAAAGGATTATCCTGCTTTAAATTTGAATTTACACTCTCATAGATTTAGAGGTTTAAGTATCCAAATACTAAACCTGAGCTATCAGAACACAATTTGGTCAAGCAGTGTGTATATTATAGGAAACAAAGTAAAGTTATTCAACATTACTTTTCATATTCCACAGCAGCCTCGTCAACGAGCGAGAAAAACTTTTGTACACCTTCTCCGGTGACCGCAGACACGCCCACAGACTGAAAATACAGTAATCTATGTTTATATAAGGGTATGTAAAACGCATTTCCTACAATTTCATAAAAGTTGCTTTTTATTCAATTTTCCATGAAAAATCATGACCATTTGATCTTTTACATAACATCTTAGCCAGAACAACCCATCTTAAGTTTATCCTAAATCAGCCCAGAAAACAGCCATTTCTTTATCACATATCATGACATTTTTGTTTTAACAACAACATTTTACTGACCCAGCCATATTATATACGACATATTTATAAGATTTGAGCCGTGTCATGACAAAACCAACATAATGGGTTTGCGACCAGCATGGATCCAGACCAGCCTGCACATCCGCGCAGTCTGATCAGGATCCATGCTGTTCGCTTACCAATTCTATTACAAGTAGAGAAACTGATAGCGAACAGCATGGATGCGCAGGCTGGTCTGGATCCATGCTGGTCGCAAACACATTATGTTGGTTTTGTTGTGATACGGCTCATTTATTTTTTAGGTAACTACATTAATATTGGCATATATTTTTTTATATATATTTTATCTTTGTTAATCTACCGCATCCCTGAAAAGTAAATATTTCTGTATCTTATGGACAATTAAGTGGTGGCTTGGTGTTGTTAAAGTATATGCCTGTCAACCCAGGAATTGTAGGTTCAAGTTGTATTTGGCTATGACCATCTAACACCATTACTTCTCATTTCCAAAAAGAGCCCGTACAATGGCTACATGCTGTTCACACAATCAAATCAAATAGATCATAGTGAGACTAAATATTTCTGACTCCTAACCATTCCTTACTTCATTTATATAAAAGCATGACATCTAAATTCTTTTATGTATGTACCAGTATAACTGCTGCCAAAGCAGGGGACATCCAATCTAAGTGTTTTTTACATTCTATTGTACGACATCGCTATGTACATTACAACTGAAAATTGTAATATTTACTTTCAGTGTAGCATAGAACTCGTCCAGTACCAGGCTCATTGACCGAGTTAGATTTGACGTGTACGAAGTTTCGTGCTCTAAAGCCTCCTGGAACGTCTCAAAATCTGTCATCCATTCCACAGCAAACTGGTTACTTACTATGTCTATCTACAAATTGAATAACTTTACACTATGTATTTTTATAAATCTTATGTTTGATTTCAATGTCAAAGTGTACAAAACACAAAATATTTCAGTATTCAACAAAAAAATTATTTTGATTGAAATGCATGAGATTTATTCATTACACAATCTTGAAATTATCTGTGTAGTAAAATTTCACGAATTATTATTGCTTTACAAAGTATATCTGAAAGTGTAGATTTTCATCAACTTTCTCACATAATATAATTTTATTCAACTCGTGCAATAAATTCAGTATTGAACTTACACTCATTCAAAATCCTCTATTTAATAAAAATGAAATTACACTAGTGTAATAACACTTTGACGTGACGTCATTTGCGCTATATAGAAACATAGCGTTCAAGCACGCTAATGTTAGCGTTCCACTATAGGCGCATCATTGAAAAATTACTCATTTTAACAGTTTACTGTACTTATTTTATATACATGTATGTGATAAATAGAATATTATATTTGTGTAGATTCAATACTAAATTTATTGAACTCATTGAATAAAACAATATTATGCTCGCCAGGCGCTCGCATAATATAATTTTATTCAACTCGTTCCATGAATTTAGTATTAAACTACACTCATTCAATATCCTCTATTTATCACTCAATAAACTATAAAGAATGAATAGTTTTGGTGAAGTTGTATCAAACATACTTTGTTCATTGCTAGAAGGAAAGGTAACTTGGTTTTATACAGTATACTACAGGCATATGTCATATTGGACATAAAAGTGACCGGGCTCACACTGCGGGATGTGTCCATTACATAAACAACCACAGTTGGAAAAGACGATGCCTGAAAATATAAATGTAATACATTTCCTTGCTATCAACAAAAGATAAGATCTTAGGCTATCAACATAAGAGCTAGCAGCAAGTGAATGTACCTATGTGGCCAGTAATCTGCACTGTTCACAATTCAGGTAGTACATATTTTAAAATTTTCCCTTAAATTTAAAATTTAACGATGAATAGTCTTGTCAAGATTGAAAGATGAACAAGTCCACTTTAGGGTAAGGGTTAATCGACAAGCATTTTTATAAATACATGTATGATATTAAAAGACAAAAACAGACTTTATGACAATTAATTATAGCACATGCATTTGTGTACATGTATAGTATAACATACAAAACAGAGTCTATTTTAACAATGCCATTCACAGTAAAAGAGAAAACTATTACCACAATTTCTTAATGTTAAAGGGACTCCACTGAGGTCCAAAAGCCTAAAAACATAAAATTTGAATTCCTAAAATAGATCAACCGTGACACTTACAACAGAGAGATACCATGTGCAAAAAATATTTAAAAAATATACTAAGAATAATTGAACATTTTATTTTCATGCTATTTTAGTCCAAATGAGTGAAAAGCGTTGCAACGCTTTTCAATTTTGAATCTTTTATCACAATTTGGAAAGTCGGACTGAGCATAGGATTTGAAATTTTGCATACAATTTATTGGTCTAGATCTACATCAAATGGAACATGAATCTCAAAATATTATTTCCAGTTCCGTCATGTCAAAACACCTCAGTTGAGTCGCTTTAAAACCTCAGTTGAGTCCCTTTAAAACCTCAGTTGAGTCCCTTTAAAACCTCAGTTCAGTCCCTTTAATACAGTACAACCTCTGCAGAGCAACACTCTTTGAAAAACAAAGATTTTTGTTGTCACTAAAAGGTGTTGCTCTATTTATTGTGAAGTCTTACTTCTAGAAAAACTAACACTTTTACACAGAGAGCAAATTCAGGTACTATAAACATCTTACTGTGAAAAGAAATCTTACCAAAGCTTCTGTAATAATAGAGCCTGAGGCTGACCAAGTGAATACTTCAATCTGTCCAGGTGTGTCTATGATAATATACCTGTAAATAGTACAGGTGAGAATTCGTCAGTCAGGATTATATAGAAAATCTTAACAAGATAGCCTTTTTATATATCGAATAGTTTTCCTTGGGTTTAAAGTATACAGCTACACTGTAAATATCATTTTGTGAGTTTCCAGGTCCACCTCCTTGCAATAATTCAGGCAGACATAAACATATGATTTAATCAACCCTAAAATTGCAGTTAGCTGACGGTTACTTGAAAGAATCTTAGATCCGTAATCATGGGACACTATGATTGGATGTCAGTGATCTTATTCACATGGTCATTGAGTTTTCTTTTTTAACTCCATGATATTTCAAAATGCTTAGAGTCTTTACATTATAGGAACTAACTTTGTAAAAATATCTCACTATTTTCACATCAAACATTATAAACACATTCCAATACTTCCATTTAGTTGGATTGGAATAAGCAACAAATACCCATCTATCTTCAACTAATGTCAAACCCCTTGCGGGGACGTAGGCATGTCTTATATGACCTTTAGTGTACAAGTCACCAAATCAAAAATATTAGAACAGTATTAAGATTAATTCTTACTTGCATTCATCTTTAGTCTTCTTCTCTGCAAACTGCATGACTTGATCAAATCTTGTAGCAAACAAATTCAATGATGTGACAATTCCACCATTTGGACCAAGGCCATATCTATACTTGGTTAAGGACTTACTTTATGTAACCAAAGTTTTTAATTTGTAACTAAGAATCTATTTCTTGTGTACCGGATAAAAAAAAAACACATAACGAGAAAAATAAACATCAATCATACTTATTTTCAAAATTGTAAAATTGCAACTTTTATGTCTAACACGAGGAGGTAATTAGGACACAGGGAACAAATAGATAAAGATGAGAAATGGAATTACATGCAGGAGAAATAATGGACAAATGATTATTTTTGTAATTTAAAGTAAATTCATTCTTACATTGGTTGTAATTAATGATATAAATCATAATTGCCAATTATTAATTGATTAAATTCTGCAGTTTTATGGATTAAAATTCTTACTTTTGTTACATTATATAAGTTTTTACAATGTATTCTTTATCCTTTTTTTAATACTTTTTTTAATATGTACAATTTTATCATTTGAAGAATAATTTATATTCTTATTTTTCAAAGAATATTTTATATTCTGATTTATCTTTATACATCATATGATCTACATATCCATGTCAAAATGGTCCTGAGTGTTTAGTTAACAAAAGGATACTGTTTCATCACTTCTTTATAGTTGACAGTATCTCTTATATCTGAAATTATATTTGAGCCGCGTCATGACAAAACCAACATAGTGCGTTTGAGACCTGCATGGATCCAGACCAGCTTGCGTATCTGCGCAGTCTGATCAGGATCCATGCTGTTCCCTATCAGCTTCTCTACTTGTTATAGGGTTTGTAAGCGAACAGCTTGGATCCTGATCAGACTGCACTGACGCGAATCCACTATGTTGGTTTTGTCGTGCCGTGGCTCATATTTTATTTCTATACTTTTCAACACAAATACTTATATAAAATCTTATACCTACTCATTTATAAAGTAAAATAAAAAAGAATGCCTCTAGAGCATCAATCAAATGCTATCTATGTCCCTATTGACAGACATAAAATATTGATACTGTACAGTACCATAACAACCAGAATACACACCAAACATTATGTCTTGTAGAGAGTTAATATCTTTTTTCAAACTAATATTTGTTTCAAAGCTCCTTTAAATGATGTTCACACAGCACACTATGCAGACACATTGTTTTGTTGAGTTTTAAGTCACACCAATACTTCATACAGCAACTTTTCTGCTTTACTGATGGAGGAAGACCTAAGGTGCCCCTCCATGCGTTTTTTCAGACACAAGTGGGCATCTGCATAGAACCACCAACATTCTGTAAGCTAGGTGGTTAGCTTCCTCACATGAAAGACTCCAAAGTGAGAGGCAAGTGGTTCAAACAAATATTAATAATAACAAGATATGTTTGTAAAACATGTATGCCCCCTATCAGCAGCCAATTATTCATGTGATAAGGTAATTATGCATGACTTCTGACCCAGTGATCAAACAATTAATAAGGGTTATCAAGTATCTACTGGTCATGACCTTGACCTTTGACCCCTTGACCCAAAACTCAATAGGGGTCATCTGCTGGTCAAGACCAATCATCATACAAAGTTTGAAGTTCCTAGGCCTAAGCGTTTTAAGTTAATTGATCAGAAACCGTTTTTACTTACAAGGTCAATGTGACCTTCACCTTTGACCCCTTGACCCTAAAAACAATAGGTCATCTGCTGGTCATGACCAATCACCATACCAAGTTTGAAGTTCCTAGGCCTAAGGGTTCTTTAGTTATTGATCGGAAAGCATTTTTACCTACAAGGTCAATGTGACCTTGCCCTTTGACCCCTTAACCCCAAAATCAATAGGGGTCATCTGCTGGTCATGACCAATCACCATACCAAGTTTGAAGTTCCTAGGCCTAAGGGTTCTTTAGTTATTGATCGGAAACTGTTTTTACCTAAGAGGTCAATGTGACCTTGACCTTTGACCCCTTGACCCCAAAATCAATAGGGGTCATCTACTGATCATGACCAATCACCATACCAAGTTTGAAGTTCCTAGGCCTAAGGGTTCTTTAGTTATTGATCGGAAACTGTTTTTACCTAAGAGGTCAATGTGACCTTGACCTTTGACCCATTGACCCCAAAATCAATAGGGGTCATCTACTGATCATGACCAATCACCATATCAAGTTTGAAGTCCCGAGGCCTAAGGGTTCTTTCGTTATTGATCGGAAACCGTTTTTAACTACAAGGTCAATGTGACCTTGACCTTTGACCCCTTAAACCCCAATATCAATAGGGGTCATCTACTGATCATGACCAATCACCATATCAAGTTTGAAGTCCCTAGGCCTAAGGGTTCTTTAGTTATTGATCGGAAACCATTTTTACCTACAAGGTCAATGTGACCTTGACCTTTGACCACTTAACCCCAAAATCAATAGGGGTCATCTGCTGGTCATAACCAATCACCATACCAAGTTTGAAGTTCCTAGGCCTAAGGGTTCTTTTGTTATTGATCGGAAACCGTTTTTACCCAAGAGGTCAATGTGACCTTGACCTTTGACCCCTTGACCCCAAAATCAATAGGGGTCATCTACTGATCATGACCAATCACCATACCAAGTTTGAAGTTCCTAGGCCTTAAGGTTCTTTACTTATTGATCAGAAACCGTTTTTGCTTACAAGGTCAATGTGACCTTGACCTTTGACCCCTTGACCCCAAAATCAATAGGGGTCATCTACTGATCATGACAAATCACCATACCAAGTTTGAAGCTCCTAGGCCTTAAGGTTCTTTAGTTATTGATCGGAAACCGTTTTTGCTTACAAGGTCAATGTGACCTTGACCTTTGACCCCTTGACCCCAAAATCAATAGGGGTCATCTACTTGTCATGACCAATCACCATACCAAGTTTGAAGTTCCTAGGCCTAAGGGTTCTTTAGTTATCACTCGGAAACCATTTGGTCTATGGACCGACAGACCGACGGACCGACAAGTGCAAAGCAATATACCCCCTTTTCTTCGAAATGGGGGCATAATAATATTTGTTAAGTGATGAAAGGGAATGAAATGACACTTATATCAAATAATCAAATCACACACAAATTTAGTTTACTTGTAGACATCATGTACATCCATGAATGTCCTCAGAATACTGCAACTGTTACAATTATTATAATAGATACATTAAAAGATTGTAATGCAGTTTTGAAAAGATACATCTGTAACAACTATCAAGTGAGCCGCGTCATGACATCTGCGCAGTCTGATCAGGATCCATGCTGTTTGCTATCAGTTTCTCTACTTGTTATAGAGTTTGTATGCGAACAGCATGGATCCTGATCAGACTGTGCGGATGCGCAGGCTGGTCTGGATCCATGCTGGTTGCAAAGCCATTATGTTGGTTTTGTCATGGCGCGGCTCAAGTGTTTTAAATTATAATAAAAACTAACCAATGTTTGCTGGAAAAGGTACTTCATGTACCGCTGGATCTAAATTGATCACATAGGGAGGTGTTTTATTTGCATGCAAATGCCCAACAATTCTCTGAAAATACAACAAAATTTATTGAAAATAACTTTGCAGTAATTTTCCTGCTTATATAACAGACCCCAATAAAAGGCATTTCCAAATTAAAAATTTTCTTTAAAATCAAGCAGTTTTCCCAAAAATCTGAACTTAAACCTGCTTTTTTACTTCCCAAATCAGCAATTTTAGCAATAATTTTCACCAACATCAAGAGGCCTCTTCCCAATTAAGTGAGAAAAATCACTGCTACAATCCTGTACATATAAACTAACTCCAGAATGAAGAACATTTGGGTTTTTCCCAGCTAATCTGTAGATCCAAACAAATTTACAGTTACATCTTCTAAAATAATCCCATCAGGTTGACTAATCTATTATGACAGATACTTAGTGCACTGTAAAGCTATAATGGTAAAAGATTGTTTGTACCTACAGATTAGCTGCCGCTGCTGGGAAAAACTCACATTTGCTTAGTTCACGCTAGCATCTATTAAGTACTGACATAATAAAAATTAGCTTAATAAACAAAGAAATATCAATTGTGAAAAAACCTTGGTCTATTTCATGTCTTTATTTGATGTAAATTTGAAAATATATTTTCCTAAACAGATGTAGACCCGAAATCGAGAGAAGAGAGAAACGTTTTAATATTATTATTATAGCACTTATTTTTCACTTTTTCTTAATATCTTTCTATCTTTTTTCCTATTCAGGAAATAATGTAAATAATAATCAAGATAAACAACACAAGAGAATGTATTCAAAGATTTTTTTTTAAAATCATCACCTTTTCTTTAAATAAGTTGTTAATTAAACAATAAAGCACATTAGTTAACTAGTTTTGATGACATCTAGATATCATAAATCTTTTTTTTGTCTTGCAATAATAATTATTCACATTATTTCTTGAGAAGAATAAGTTAATGAAGAAAAATTTGCATATTTTTAGTGGCAAATAATTAATAATAAAAATATGGCCGGGTTGACCAATTATCAGATTGACTTGGGGTCGGATTGACTAATTTGGGGCCGGATTCACTTGAGGCCGGGTTGACTTAGGGCCTGATTGACTTGTATCGGCCAAATCTATGTTCTAAGATATTTTTGTTCTTTGCTAGAATCTCGCTGGAAGGGGAGATATTGCGGTGGGGGGAAAATCCCGGGATCCGGGACGCCCAGGATCGTATTAGATATAGAGGGAAAACAAATAAACTATATTTATTGATGATTATTGTCGTAATGAAAGGCAATTAAACGTTAAGTTTTTATTTTTTTATTGTATGTAATGAACGTTAAATTATTTAACTTAGGATAGAAATATATTTAGAGCTATTTATTAACAAACTTAAAATGCAGAAATTACAATACTTATAATTATACGCCTAATTAATTGGAAAAATTAAAGACTATATTCTTGAATTGGTCAAATCCCGGGATCCTATATGTTTTAATACGATCCCGGCTTTTCTGAAAACTATATTCTTGAACTGGTCAATTCCCAGGATCCCTATATGTTTTTATACGATCGCGGCTTATCTGAATTTCCGGGATCTCTATATCTTTTAATACAATCCCCAAAATCGTGAAAAAAATACATTATTTTTAAAGATTTTCATAACTACTACAAATCAAACTTATTCAGAAATCGCTACAAAACATTCAAATGATGATGATAATAACAATAATAATAAGAATAATACACCGAGAGTATGTGGTCAATTCCCGGGATTACTATATGTTTAATATGATCCTGGGTCCCGGCTTTTCTATAGGCGATCCCGGGGTTTTCCCCCCTCCAGATAGGGTTTGCCTAAAATACGAAAGTGAGATTTTAGACGAAAGTGAGCGAAAGTGACTTTTGGAATTTGAATTGTACCGTTCTAATAGAATTTTTTCACTAAAATTGCTGTTTGTAGACGTATTATCTATATTATTCGCAACTTATTTTATATATTATAATAAATAACCATAATCATGATTTAATCGCCATTTATTGGCGTATTTCTATACAAGTTCAGCGATATTCCTTTCTCTTGCATAGAAAAATACGAAAGTGACTTGTAAAGTATTAAATATAGAGTATAAATTGAAAATGTACTAAATTTGCAGTTTGTGTATTATAAGAAATTAATATTCTTAATTTTGTATACTAATTATTTTGATGATTTATAGTTTTATACCCCATTTTTTTAGCATAATTTCTATATACAATATCAGCGCTCTTCCTTTCGCTTACATTGAAAAATACGAAAGTGACTTGTAAAGTATCAAATAAGGAGTTTGAATTGAAAATGTACTTAAATTGCAGTTTGTAAACGTATATTTTCAGAAATTAATAATTAGATATTTAACACTATTTTTCAATTAAACTCTATATTTGATATTTAAGAGGTCAGTTTCGTATTTTCTATGTGAGCGAAAGGAAGATTGCTGAACTTGTATATATAAAATTATGTAGAAGAAAATGGGGTAAAAATCATCATAATGATTATATTTGAAAATAGATAATATTAATTTTTGATATTTTACGCCTGAAAAATGCAATATATGTTTTACTTTCAATTCAATGCTTTTACAAGTCACTTGCGTATTCTTCAATGTGAGCGAAAGGAAGATATTAGAACTTGTGTATAGAAATTGTGCAAATAAATGGCAATTAAAGCATCATAGAGATTATTTTTGAAAAGAAATATTATAAGTTGCTAATAATATACGTCTGCAAACAGAAAATTCATCGTAAAATTCTATTAAAACAGTACAATTCAAATTTTAAAAGTCACTTTCCCTCACTTTCATCAAAAATCTCACTTTCGTATTTTAGGCATACCACTCCAGATATTGCCCATGCACAAAGTAACACAATATCTAAATGTGTAGTATCCCTGTTTCTCATATTCTCGGGGTTTCTCGTATTCTCGTGGAATAATTAAAACGGATGGAAGCGACGCTCGCGACTTCCGTCAATATCCGAAAACATGTCTATTTAGCAGAGCATTTTCATCTCCAATAAATTTTTTTAAAGAAATGCGACAAAAACAGATAAAAACCCAAAATAACTGTGGAAATAATAGTAAAATCCAGAGAATAAACATTAAATTTATTAATTTTCCCCCAAAAATCATCAATTTTTCTAGTT